TAACATTAACATCTCAGAAAACACGGAAGCTTTTCACAACATTGAACATACTTTGTACTTTCGTAGAGTGATATGCGTGCTGGTGATGTTATGCAAATTTGCAATCAGTTTTTTTTCCTAAACCTCAAACCGGCACCCCATCCTCACTATTGTCCTAAAATTATGGATAACTTTGCGAAGTGTTGTAACCTCAAGGTGTCAACTCTGGTTAAATAAGATTAGAATATATTTTACCTCTTTAACATTATGTATAGAATATAAATGGTGCTCAAATAACAAGAACCGATTTTAATGGAAATTATGTTTAAGCTTCTAATGATGCTTTTTTCTTTTTATTTCAGATTTGACGGACATTTGAGTAATATTATTTTTCGCATATAATTGCCCTGACTTAAATAACATGATAGATAAATAAATAAATTTATTTACTGCTGACTTTGATCCGTCTTAATGAAACACCCTTACATATAATCCGTCTTAATGAAACACCCTTTATAAAATATAATTTTTCAATTTTATGTAATTGAAATTTATTAATATAGATGATGAGGACACATATTGGAATTTGGTATCTATTTCATTTGATGTAACATTACAAGACGATATATTTACAGCATTACAATGTTACAAGTGGAGAGTCTACTAAAATAAATTTTTGTAACTTGCCCTTAACTTTGCCAAAATATTGTGACTACGTCATTTTGTTTGCTGAAATTAAATGCAAACATTCATAAATTAACTTCGTGGATATTTGGAGCAATTTCTGCTTCTAAAACTGAAACGAAGTATGACAGGTCTTTGATTTTTATGCGATTCCACAGTGACTACCATTTTGAAAAAAAAAAGTATTATGATTATGGAAAGAGAAAATACATCCTTTTTAACTTCCCCCGCCAGGCTTTTTGATAATTTATGGCTTATAGCTAAAAAGAAAATAGTAGTTTTATAGATTTAGAATTAAATTATAAGAATTACATTTTAATCCCCCGCTTCGTCTATTTATGCATTACCATAGAAAATCGATCTCGTTTCTGTAACTCAGAAAGAAAAAAAAATTTTCGGGCATTATTTTTTTTTCAGTTTGATGAACATGAAGTTATTTATTTAAAATGTCAATCTCTACTGTTCAGCAATTATCACACTTTGACAGCACGATGTCAGTTTTATTCCTAACTTCTCGTGAAAAAGATGTCGGTGATTATTTGTAATCACTTCACCCCATGGAAGGCGATAATATCGATAGGACACATTGGATTACTGGGGATGAATGATAATGAGAAAACTTTAGAGTGAAGAAAAGAACAGTTTCCAGAAGACAGAAGATGGCTATTCGCACTGCCTTTGCATTTTTGAAGATGGTAAGTCGCGGGGAAGCAAGCAATCAAAAGACAGTTGCATAAACGAGCATAATGAAAAAAGAAACTATTATCGTAAAAGTGGCGTTTGCATCTAGGTAGATCAACAGAAAATCTCTAAGACCTACTTGCCAATCTAGTAGCACGCATGAATTCATGAAATCGAGGCACTAAAGAGAGAAGTTCATCAGAAAAATTGCCATGAAAATAGCTTCAGTCCTGATTCAGAAGTTGGAAAAATTGGAATAACCCGACTTTCCCGAAGGAATTCAATTCAACATGGCCATTGAAGTCAACACCCAGCAGCGACACTCTGTTTCATGCTTGTACACAATCGTCATATGTGCTGCGATTTGTTTGACTATTTATATATACAGTTCATTGATGCATTCTGGGTAGAGTTTTATATTGTTCTAATGCTTATTTTGGTTGGCAGTAACAGCAATATTTCAAATTATGCAAGGGGCTTTTATGTGGCAATAATTGTGGAGCCCGATGCAGCTTTTTGGCTATTTATAACTTTGTTAACATTTTAAAATTTATTATTTTATTGTTCCTTGCTGTTGTTAGGTTTAGTTACCGCCCACCAAAACAGCCGTTAGAATAACACAATACACACAATGCATCATAGACGTGTATTTATAAATAGCTGAGAAAAAGCACAACAAATATGATATGACGAGTGCGTATAAGCAACAGACAGACTGTCGCCGCTGAGTGTTGACTTCACAGCACACATTTATATTTACATACACTATATCCATGATATTGAGAACTTCAAACCATAAATATAACATAAATATATATATATGTGTGTGTGTGTCTGTGTGTGCAAGTGTTTTGTAAGTTTGTCTCATTCACTTCTCTGGCATTCATTTACACAAGATATTTATTGATGTTACTATTTCCCCTCTTCTCTTTCTGTCTGTGAGTGTTACGTTTTCGGAGTCGTCTTTGCTAATTATGAATTCTAGTACTGCGCTTAAATTAATATGATCTAGGCACAACAGTGAAGAGCTCATCTGAACAATTGCCATGAAAGTATCTACTGAAAAGGGGCAGGGAGGATACCTTACCTTGATGGGAATATGCTTGAAGCCGCAATCAAGGCCAATGATATAGCTGATGTTTTTTTCTTTGGATTTTATCCATCAACGCTAGATAAATGAAAGGGGCATCAGAGAATATGTGGCAGCAGTATTCTAAAAATGGACGAATGGTAGACTTTCTCGGTAGCTATGAATATATTATCAAAGCATCCGAAGAAGATTTAGAAGCAAGAGTAACATTTGAAGAGGCATATAATTTGTGGCTTCCTTGTGAGAATGCGGCAATAGCAATGTAGACTAAAATAACGGCGACATGAAATCGAAAATATAAAGCAAAACTCAAGAGAAAATTGGTAGATGATGAGTATATTGTAAAGCAAGGACATCAAAGAGCAAATTAAATAAATTGAACAGCTGATATTAAGCACATTTTAAGATTAGCGGGGTCTGTAATGACTGAGGGAAGTTCTCAATATGTAATTAAGGTTTGGGGATGATTACAAAACGCAAGAATAGACAATGGTGAGAACTTCATTCGATAAAAATAATCACAAAGTTTTATCACCAAAACTTTATCACTTAGATATTCTGAACTACATATGTCAATAAGACTTTATCAATAAGACTTTATCCATAAGACTTTATCATCAAAACTTTATCACCAAGACATTCTCAACTACATATGTCAATAAGACTTTATCAATAAGGCATTATCAACAAGAAATTAACATGAAGACTTTATCAACAATAATTTATCAACGAGACATTCTCAACTACATATGTCAATAAAACTTTATCAACAAGACATTATCATCAAGACTTTATCAACAAGACTTTATTACCAAAACATTCTCAACTACATATGTCAATAAGACTTTATCAATGAGACATTATCAACAAGACTTTATCACCAAGACATTCTCAACTACATATGTCAATAAGACTTTATCAATAAGGCATTATCAACAAGAGATTATCATGAAGACATTATCATCGACTTTATAAACAAGACTTTATTACCAAAACATTCTCAACTATATATGTTGAATAATAAGAACTATGCAAATGTCCTAGTTATTGTTGCAGACATTACTACAAATTTCAGAATTCTCTTACACTAAAACATTCTGCTAATGAAACTGGACTCTATGCCAGTGCGTCAAAAACCGAATTCATCGACTTCAACCAGCAAGCCTCAATAGAAACAATCTCAGGTGAATCAATAAAATCTTTCGAATATCTTACAGACCTCGGAAGCGAAATAAATTCTGCTGAAAATGATGTGAAAATTCGCATAGCTAAAGCCAGTGTCGCCTTGAAGGAAATGGATGAAATCTGGAAATCTGTTCTACCAGACAACATCAAACAGAGATTCTTTCGTGCCACTGCAGAGATGAATTTAATGTATACTGCCCCTGTTTGAACATTAACTAAAACACTAGAGTCTAAGCTTGATAGTAGTTACACTTTGATGCTCGGATCTAAACTTAACATCTCTTAGAAACGACATTCAACGAAATCACAGTTCTATGGAACTATCCTTGATATTTCTACAATCTTACGTAAACGCAGGATGCGCGTTGCAGGACACTGCTGGACAACAAATCAAGAACATGCGAGTGACATTTTGTTCTGGACACCTAGTCATAGAGCAAGATGAGCTGGTCGTGCAGCAACCATAATGATTGACCAGCTATGTTATGACACACACCTCGTTGGGACACCATGATGTTTGACGTGATAGACTCATGAATAATAGACCTAAAATATAAAAAAGGAAATGTGCGGTAGACAGAAAAGCAACTCAGGGTTAATGAATGGGAAGAGCCTGGAAACCAAACGCGAAAAAAAAGGTTTAAACCTACATCACAGCATCGATCAGAAGCTGATAGATCTTAATGGACTGCCAGTAAGAACGGAGGACTTTACTGTTGGGAAAATGAAACCAGTCACCATATCAAGAAATATCAATGAAACCAGTCTGATTTGGTTTAAATTCCACGAGATGTTTAAATACGTAGGTGGTGATCATCTCACGTTATAGAACAATAAACAATTACTAGGAAGAAGATTTAGTGCGGGAGTGGAATTTTAACATTTCCTGATAAAGAAAAACAGAGAGTCATAAAAAATAACAGATTTATAGTGTGTGCATATGTTGCAGAAAATATTTAAAACAAGGTGATTCTACACATAATTAACATTGGATTTGAGCGAGTTAAGTCAGTTGATCTTGGTGAAATCATCGTTACTTTAAGTAGTGTGGATTGGCCATACAGAAACACAGAAAATGTACTCGTCCTGGGTTTGACGATAAGCTACAACCGGCAGCAAGCTCTCTGATACACAGTCATTAAGGAGCTTGGAAACACCTCTTAATTTCTATTGTTCCAAGGATCACTTGGGTCAAAACACTATGAGAGAGTAAAAATAGATCTTTATAGTAAAAATACCAGCAATAAATTTTTGAAAAAAAATTTACCAGCAATACATTTTTGAAGAAAAAATAATTACCAACGATAAATATTTTGTCAACATTAAATAACCCATTCAGGTTGATATGCCGTGAAACAAAACAAACCAAACCAATATATACTGAGAGATAGATAGATAGATAGATAGATAGATAGATAGATAAAAAAATATGACCAACGATAACATTCTTGTCGGCATTAAATAACCCATTGAGGTTGATATGCCATAAAACCAAACAAAACAAACCAATCTTGGCATCTCGACATCAATCAATTTCCCACGTGGTGACATGGTTTCTTTCTGTCTTTTCTTTTCTCTCTCTCTCTCTCTCTATAAATAAACGCTTAGGAAGTAAGCACCCATCAGTAATGGAAAGAGCGATAAAACTCAGTCAGTTATGTGCCATGCCTGATACACGCGTAGGAGACCCTGTATCTTTCGATACATGAATGACGAGGCAGATTTTTTCCCGCAGTAGGTTGCCATTTCTTTTTGCGGTAGACCAGTTACCATCAAAGGCGGTCAGTCCTACTATTTATCCATAGCTGGGGGGCGATAAATAGGATTGATACCTTTCCTAAGGACGTGAATTAATGTAATGAATTCGAATAGAATTCGAACTCGGCTCTCCGATTCCTCAATCCGAGACGCTACCCATTACTCTACCGTGCTTCGCCAACAACTAACTGAACTTAGAAAACCTATTTTCTTGAGAATACATTTCAATAGAAAGGTTTTATGAATTTCAGCAATACTGGCTTCTTTTTTCTTTTTATGTGCCGTGTTCTTTCATGACGTAGGCGATCATAGTGCTCTACTTCCCTCTATCCCTTGTAGTTCTCAATAAGTTTCGTCCTCTGCCAACTCCCAGGGACCACGTTTTGTCATACACAGTCCGTCAGGTTTTCCAAGCGTTGCTTTCCCTTGTCTCTCTTTCCCTCTATTCGTCATGTGAGTATCAGATTCTCCAGGCGTTCCTTTCTTATTACGTGTCCCAGATACTTCAGCTGCCTCTTCCTGATGTTAATTATGTCCTCTCTTTGTTTGCATCCTCTCCAAGTCCTCATCGTTGCTCATAGGCTCGATCAATGATATCCTCAGCATCGTTAATGTCAAAAGTTTCCCTTGCAAGGAAACGGCTAATCTTACCATTATTTGTTGATTCGTTATTGTGAATTAACTAGAATGAACATACAAAAAGTCGTTCTAGTTTTGCACAAATACAAACTTTGCGTCGGTTAATCAAGGGTAATAAGCTATGATTCTCCCAGCAGTTCCGACATTTGGTAATTTGAGGAAAGCTTCTGATTCCATATACGGAGAAAAGGTCGTCGAAATATTTACGTCTTGTGGAATACCAACTAAAATGATCTCAGATATCAATATGCTACACAGATACCGTCGGCCAAGCACTATCAGCAGATGGAGATAAAAACACACATTTTAATGGCAGCTGGAATCTTACAGGAAGGCACACTGACTTCATTTCAGTTCATCATTGCCCCAGACAAGGCAATGAGACTTGCAACTAAAGATTAGACAAGTATTAGGTTTACCAGAAGCGAAGGAAGAGCGATTCGATACACTTAAATCCTCATAAAAAAAAACAAGTTTTGCAGATGATTTAGCTCTTGAATCCAACACTTTTTCCTAAACACAACTGATCCATCTCATATTAAATATTTTACTGTAGCGTAAATCGGGAACTACATAAATGTAAATAATAAAACATCCATATCTTTTAATAAATCTTAAGCTATGATTTTAGCATTCAAATATGACTAGCTAAATCAAGGGGATGACATGTTTTAATATATCTGGGATCGTGTGAGACTTCCTCGCAAAAAATATACGTTTATATTTTCAAATCCTTAATCGAACTATGAAAATCAAGTCGTCTGGAAGTAAACAATTAAAATAAAGTTTGAATGTGTAACTCTTTAGATTAGCAACAGTCCTCATTTAGACGGTAAACCGTTAGACATTTAGAAAATCACTAGCTAAAATAAATAAATAGATGCTACCTACACTCGATAGCATATTATTTTTTGGTACTGAAAATTATTTTTTTTTTATTTAGATTTTCTATAGCAAAACTTCTACCTCTCCATATGACAATATTTGAAGTACATTTTTTCTAGAGTGAATAATGGATTTATTTTATACCTTTCAGGTAACTCTAAAATAAAAATTCATGAAATTTTTCTTAATTTCAAATATTTAGCAGACAGAGAATGGAAATTATAAGAATTACTACTGAAACTAGTAAAAGAAAACGAAAAAAGTTATTAAAAAAAAGTTGTAATAAGATAGAATGCATTGCTATTACGACAAGTACAGCCAAATATACGCATTACAAGTTGGATATAACAAAACCAAACAAGTACAAGAATTTAAACATATGGGAAGTGATTTAACAGAGGAAGGTTAAATCCGAAATCCGAAGGAGCATTTGGATAGTAAAAGACACCTTCAAAGATTAAGCAACTATTAAGAAGCAAAAGATCTCGTTAGAGCTATGAAAACAGTACTAAAGTGATATGCAACCTTCCTATATTGAGAGTTAACGTAAAATGTTTGTCTAGCATTATCTGCAATAGAGGAGGACTGATATAACGTAACAGCTCCGTAATCGTTTCTTTGTTTTTAACATTCTTCTGTTCCTGAATGCTTTACTTAGCTTTTGGAAGACACCTTCGCTCGAAATTTCAACTGCCACTGATGTTAAGTATAAGCATCCTTTTTTGTTTCAATTTTCTATAAGCTTCGCCGTTACTCATATATCCGGCCTATGGTATTCTCAGCAAATTTCCGTAGAACGACATTTCTTTTGCCTCAAGTCATTTCATCCTCTGCGAGGAGATTGTACAGGATTCTCTGCCATACACGAAGATCGATATTATGTAACAGTTTAGGGACTGTTCTTTTTTTTTTCTATTATTTCATCTTTCTTGAGGTCGAGCAAAATGCTTAAGGCCAAACTCCTAAATGAAAGAGGGGCGGTAACATCTGAGGGGATCGATAGGAAATTGTAAATATTGTACGACGGATTTCCGCTTCAAATAACGAACATCCCTATCGACATCATTTTTATGACTGGGTGTGGTAGCAGCTGAGCCCGTGATCAGCTCCCGCCACACAACAAGGGTGAAAATTATTAATTCATGTGTAGCCCTTCTTGGACAAGTTGCGGAGCCCATCCAACTCCATATAAAACCACAGGCTATGTTCTCCAATTTTTCAAGTTGAATCATCATGGATAAGTCATCGTTGAATCAGTCAGCCGTTGACATTGACTTGAGACGTGGAAGCCCGCGATGCCGTGTCATCAAAGTACTGACTGTGTACATAGCTATGTGTAAATATAATTAATCCACACAAAATATATTTTGACTCGAATAACATTTGGCTTAAATAATATATATTCAAATGAAAAAGAACGAAGCGTAAATTTTCAGCGGTCAAAATATTTATAATAGGGCTGAATACAAAAATAGAGCAATAAATATTTATTTATTCTGCATTGTTACATTAGAACATATATATATATATATATATATATATATATATATATATATATATATATATATATATATATATATGACTGATGCCAAATCGATGGGATTTCAATCCTGGTTTTGAACCAGTCGAAAGTTTCGCCAACACTGAAGAGCTGTGATACAGTAAAACAGTCTGTCTATGGATGACAATATATAAGCTCCAGGGAAATCCGGTTAAGCTGTCCTGTGAAAGGATAATTTTAAAAACAACGGGTCCTACTTCTATTAACATAGCTCTTCAAATAAATTGAGATCTCCAGGCCACTGGTGTATTTCGTATAGAAAATGTTAAAATTTCCCTTTCAGCTGCCGTGAGACGATAGCCTAGGATCTCTTATTGATGCCAAATCGGTCGGGTTTATCCGAATTTTTTTCATGAACTGCATCTAATGCATAAGAATTTCAACTATTCACCAACGCAAAAAAAAAAAGAAAAAAAAGATTATCAATAAAAAACAACGTCAAGAAAGAAATTCGGATTAATAACACATAGAAAAAGCATGCCTCATATCGAGAATATTTAACATCTAAAAACATAAAGGCGAAACAAATTAATTATTTTTTAATAATATGCGGAAATATACACATTTTATATGATGACGGTTGCGAGACCAAACACACGTGTAGTAAAAATATGGAAAATAAAGCATAATATTAAAAAAAAATCCACATTACAACCAAAAACGTTTGCGATATCTCTCTCTTCTTTTTAATATATATATATATATATATACACACACACACACACACACACACATATATATATATATATATATATATATATATATATATATATATATATATATATATATATATATATCGTATATTTAAGGACGTTAGGTAGGAAATGTTCTTTAAGGTAAATGTTATTGAAGTCTGTACAGATTTCGTGTCGATTAATTTTATTGATCGACTTTTCCAAATTACAAATAGTCCATCTAAGGCAAGGAGAGCATCCCGTCTGAATTTTAAAAGTTCATTTCAGAAGAAATATGATCGATGTTTTCAGCTCTCCATTAAATCATCATCGGTGTAGGGAGAGATATATGTGAAATTTCATAGAAGTTATGAGTGTAGTGACGTGGGAATAGAGTGTTGTGACGTAGGCGAGAGAGAAAGTGAGAGAGAAAGAGAGAGTGTGAATGCGTGTTATATTTTTTCATATACATTTGAGGGTGAGTGTTCTTCAATTATAATTGATTTTATTTATAGATGGTTGTTTTTTATTGCATGAGTATTGCTCTGTTTTTTATCGTTTGATTTTCCTAATAATTTGCCATTGATTGTTAGCGGCTGTTACCATGGCCTTTATGTTGCTTATGAATCTATTTTCTGGTCCGATATGTGGCAAGTAAGTTGTGCTCTCTCGAAAAATATTTCGAAATGTTTCGGAATTAATTCCAGTCGAAAACCCCAAAACTAACAGAGAAACCTGTCGTTTATAAGCGTTTCCTATTTGCTTCATCTTCTCCACGCATTTCTCCACGCATATCCATTGTGCTTCAAATAAACAAAATCCTAAAAGACATTTCTGAATATCGACCTGTTTTAGCTACAACAAGAAGACTCTTGATCAGTATAGTGATGTATGAAAGTAATTACTCTCGTAATGAACAGAAGCCTTTA